AAGAATCTCTGTAATCATTTGTCCCTGCTTTTGCTAATTTCTACTATCACTCCTCCCTGAAGCCTTCTCTGATCTATCCAAATTGATCCTTCAGTTTCTTCTTAAGGTATACCTATGGTAATTTCTGGAACCTTATTAAATCTTCTGTTTGTTGGATGTGACCCCAGTTAATTTATAGGATTTTCCAAATAGATACAATCTTCCATTTATTTTATTTGTGCAGCCACATGGACCCAGTGAATACTCAGTAAATGTTGCTGGCAATGTTTCTATTATTGTTAGAAATTTCCATTTCATATCTATCTGTATCTAAACTATAATTTTTAGATGAAGTGATTTAGTGTTATCAGAAGTTTCCTGTTTGATCTCAAATGACCATCATCAGATTAACACTAACAGTTGAAATAAAGAGAAAATGGATGTGGTAAGTTGGTAGATGTTGAAAATCAGGCACACTTTTTTGAGAGTATTGGTATCAATAAGGTTTCTTTTAATATCTCATCTGTAAGATAATTTCAATTAATCTGTATGAGGCTTAGCTTCAAAACCCAAATTTGTAAACTGTATACTATCACTATGAATCAAACAAAACAAGGTTATTTGTGTTAACAGTTCTTATTAGGTTTAACTCCTAATGAGTTTCCACTGTAAATCACCGTTCAGCTACCTTATCTACCATAGTTGTGAAATTAGAAAACATCCGAAAGTGCTTGCTTTAAATGTCAGTTGAGTACCTTCTAAAAAGTAAAACTGTAAAAGTGTTTAGGAGTGAAATATACTGATGCCTCAACATTGAAGTACATCAAAAGTAAAAGATTGATAAATTAATATGGAGTAAAGGACATATAAAGCAAAATTACAAGAATTATAGAATGTAGATACTGAGAAAAAGGGTAGTCACTGAACAGTTTTTCAGCTTTTTTTGAAAGTTTGAAATTTTTCATAATAAAATTTTAGGAAAGGGGCACCTGGGTGGCTCAGTCAGTTGAATGTCCCACTCTTGATCTCAGCTCAGGTCATGATTTCACAGTTGGCGAGATCGAGCCGAGCCCCCTGTCAGACTCTGCGTTGACAGCACGGAGCCTGCTTGGGATTCTGTCTCTCTGCCCCTCCCCTGCTTGTGCGCTTGCTCACTCTTGCGCGTGCGCTCTCCCTCTCTCTCTCTCTCTCTCTCTCTCAAAATAAATAAATAAGGGGCACCTGGTGGCTCAGTCGGTTGGGTGTCCACCGACTCCAGCCCAGGTCACGGTTCCTGGTTCAAGCCCCACGTGGGGCTCTGTGCTGGCAGCTCAGAGTGGAGCCTGCTTCCAATTCTGTGTCTCCCTCTCTCTGGCCCTCCCCCCTCACGTTCTGTCTCACTTTCTCACTCAAAAATAAATAAACATTAAAAAAAATTTTTTTAATAAACTTTAAAAAATGTTTAAGAAAAATAAACTTACACTGACGAGAATTTGTGGGGAATATAGTTATACAAGTAATTGCATTAAATTGAAATAATGAGATTGCCATTTATGTAGGTCTAAAACAGATGAATGTAGGCAATTTCGTTTGGTTCAGCCTGGTACTAAGGTTCTGAGGAGATATATTTTTACGTTTTATTTTTTTCCTGGTGACTGAAATTGGGTTTATTCAATTCACCTTAATGCTGATTAATTATGCTGGTCTAGATGTACTTAGCTACATATGCTGCTCATTGTTGAAATGAAAATCTTAGAAGAATCTAGAACATTTCTAGGTATTATGCCTGTTTTGTTATCACAACTGTATATCTCATTTCCCAGAGGTAAACAAATATAAAATTTCCTCAGTTGTGGGGCACATATATTCTAACACCTCAGTTAACCAAGTCTGTTTGCTTATACTTGTCATTTGAAATGTATGCAAAACTTTGTAAATTATAGGGGCGCCTGGGTGGCTCAGTCGGTTGAGCGTCCGACTTCGCTCAGGTCACGATCTCACGGTCCGTGAGTTCGAGCCCCGCATCAGGCTCTGTGCTGACAGCTCAGAGCCTGGAGCCTGCTTCAGATTCTGTGTCTCCCTCTCTCTCTGGCCCTCCCCCCGTTCATGCTCTGTCTCTCTCTGTCTCAAAAATAAATAAATGTTAAAAAAAAAAATTTTTTTTTTTTTAAAAAAACTTTGTAAATTATATAGTTATACCCAGTCAAACTGTGGATAGTGATGATGGTTGTACAGCAGTAAGAATGTACGTCATGCTACTGAACTATACTCTTAAAAGTTGTAAATTTTATGTATATTTTCCCACAATAAAATTTAAAAGATGGAGAGGAGGAAGGGGCACTTTTAGATAACCATAAGGTAGTATGAGAGCTGAGACAGCTTAACTGAGGTGGGTCATGGTGCTGAACAAACACTGCCTACCTCCCATTTTTACCTAGGTCGTATGAAACCTGATTGAATTTGAAAGCTGAATAAGGTCACAGTTTTGGATGTTGCTATGAATTAAGTATTTTTCCCCTGTTCTGGGGTGCTTGGCTGGCTCAGTCAGTGGAGCATGCAACTCTTGTTCTAAGGGTCATGGGTTCAAGCCCCACAGTGGGCATGGAGCCTACTTAAAAAAAAAAAAATAGGAAGTTTTCTTACCTGTTCTAATTGGAAGTTTTTAATTGGAGCACCCAGTTAAAATATATGTTCTACAAGGACTGGAGACCTCATGAATCTACAGTACCTGACTAGTCTTTCCCATTGAGCATAGTTAAGCTAGTTCTGACAGAAGCAATTTATTTAATTAAATAAAAAGTGCAAAGTAGATGGACACCTGGGTGGCTCAGTTGGTTAAGTGTCCAACTTCAGCTCAGTTCATGATCTCAACTGTTGGTAGGTTTGAGCCCCCATGTCAGGCTCTGTGCTGGCAGCTCTGGAGCCTGGAGCCTGGAGCCTGCTTCGGATTCTCTGGCTCCTCTCTCTGCCCCTCCCCTGCTTGTGCGTGCACACATGCCCGTGCACTCTCTCATTCTCTTTCAAAAATAAACATTAGAACATTTTTTAAAGTGCACAGTAGAGGGGCTCCCGGGTGGCTCAGTCAGTTGGGCGGCCGACTTTAGCTCGGGTCATGATCTCGCGGTTTGTGAGTTCTAGCCCCGCATCAGGCTCTGTGCTGACAGCTCGGAGCCTGGAGCCTGCTTCAGATTCTGTGTCTCCCTCTCTCTCTGCCCTTCCCCCATTCACGCTCTGTCTGTCTCTCAAAAAAATGAATAAATGTTAAAAAAAATTTTTTTAAGTGCACAGTAGATAACAAGCTTCAGTTAGCAGTTTCTAATTGTACACACTTCAATGGGGGCGGGGAGAAGTGAATGGTCTCATGGAGTTAAACTGTATTTGCCATAATGAAAATCAGTGCCAACTTGTGTCAATTGGGAGAAAAAATAATGAATTGCAACCTAATTCCACAAGAAAAAATTAGACTTCATGAGGTACTTTCTCTCTCTTTTTTTAAGTTTATTTGAGAGAGAATCCCAAGCACACTCCATCCCAGGGCTTGAACTCACAAACCTTGAGATCTTGACCTAAGCCGAAATCAAGAGTCGGATGCCCAAGTGACTGAGCCACCCAGGTGCCCCTAGACTTCAGGTATTCTTAAAAGCAAAATGGGGGGTGGGTGGCACCTGGGTGGCTCAGTCAGTTGAGCCTTCTCTTGATTTTTGGCTCAGGTCATGATTCCAGAGTTGTGGCGTAGAACCCTACATCAGGCTCCCTGCTGAGCAAGGAGCCTGCTTGGGATTCTCTCCCTCTGCACCTCACCCCCACTTGCACACATGCGCACACACTTTCTCTAAGAAAAGCAAAATGGGAAACATTTTTTTCTAACTTTTTTAAAGTTTCATTTATTTTTGAGAGAAAGAGCACTTGTGAGTTGGGGAGGGGCAGAGAGGGGGAGAGAATTTCAAGGAGGCTCTAAGCTGTCAGCATAGAGCCTGATGTGGGGCTCAATCTCAGGGACCTGTAAGATCATGACCTGACCTGAAATCAAGAGTTGGATGCTTAATTTACTAAGCCACCCAGGCACCCCTGGAATATGTTTTAAAATTAACCGTCTCAATTGAATTTTTAATATAAACATCTCAGAGTTGAGACTTCTAGATTTCAAATATAATAAATATAACTCCACAGAAAAAAGAAAGTCATTCATACTTGAAACATGTAGGGCCAAATTTACTATATCACTATCCTAAAACAGTTTATCCTGATGTCTTTATCTCTTCCCCCTTTATTTTTTTAAGACTTAATAATCTTTCCCTCTTCACATATTCATTCTTTACCAGAAAGAGAAATTATTTTTCCCCTCCGTTGAAAATTGAATGAGACCATAGTGAAATTATTTGTATAATCCTTTAGTTTTCCAAGTTGAAGAGGTTTAGTGTTGTTGAAGTGGGGAAAACACTGAATTTCACATATTTCTGTGCTTACCCAAAGAATTATTAGGGTCTTCTAAAACAAAAGCAGCTTGGGGCGCCTGGGTGGCGCAGTCGGTTAAGCGTCCGACTTCAGCCAGGTCACGATCTTGCGGTCTGTGAGTTCGAGCCCCGCGTCGGGCTCTGGGCTGATGGCTCAGAGCCTGGAGCCTGTTTCCGATTCTGTGTCTCCCTCTCTCTCTGCCCCTCCCGCGTTCATGCTCTGTCTCTCTCTGTCCCAAAAAATAAATAAATGTTGAAAAAAAAATTTAAAAAAAAAAACAAAAGCAGCTTGAGGGTTGTCTTTTTGCACTCTGATTCATAAGAGAAGGTGAAGAATTATTGGAAAGATGGAGGGAATTACATAAAAGGAAAATTCAGAAAACAAGATTCTGCAGAAGAATATAAGGAAAAACCAAAAAGAAGAAACTCCAACTGGAAATCTATTGATTGTTTTGTCACCTTGGTATTTGAATGTAAAGTAGAGGTTCTATATTATAACATAGTAGGCTTATCTCATTAAGTGAGTGCTGCGGTGGAAGGGAGGCTGGGGTCTTAAAGATAACGTCATTATTTCTCTTTAATTTACAGAAGTTGCTGGGTGTGTTTTGCCACTGATGAAGATGATAGAACAGCTGAATGGGTGAGACCATGCAGGTGCAGAGGATCTACAAAATGGGTTCACCAGGCTTGTCTACAGCGTTGGGTAGATGAAAAACAAAGAGGAAACAGTACAGCCAGAGTGGCATGTCCTCAATGCAATGCTGAATACTTAATAGTTTTTCCAAAGTTGGGTAAGCAGATCATGAAAAACAACAAAGATATATGTGATGTTTTTTAACTCTATGATCTCAGGTTTATTTAAAAGTGACCCATCTCTTTGCTTTTTTGTAAATTTCTCTATTCCCTTTCTGTTATCTCCTCTCTAAATGTTATTTTTTTGTTTTGCTAATAGTTTACATTATCCTTAATATATCCTCAAATCCACCCATTTGTGTATTAAATGTTTTTATTTTGGTTGAGTGGATAAAAAACTGGGACATCTGACTCTGTGGATAAAATCAAATAACAAAACTATAATAAAGAGCTGACCAGAAGAGCCTTATTCTTTGGAGACCATTGATGTATGAGAATGAAAACAACAATGTGTTCTTTCTAATACTTATCCTTAATTCTTCTATTAAGGAATAAAAGGGAAGTTAAAGACTTAGTAGACAGTGTTAATCTCATTTTTGGATTCCAATTTATGTGGTTATCCTTCATGAAAACTACTTTCTTCTTCAACTTGGGCAGGGAAGTAATAACCAGAGATCTTTTAGAATGGGGCTAGCATTGAAAAAAGTAGAGCAGATGATTTAAAGGAAGCTGTAAGTAAGGCTGATATTTAGTTACCACGTTCCATTACAGCCACGTGATTATGGTGTCTCTGGTGTTTAGGTTATACCAGTTATTAAACATTTTTAATATCACCTTGGCTATAATAGGTATATGAAGGCAGTTTAGGTTCTGGGAAGGTCAGACGGAAAGAATGACTTTCAAGGAGAGTAGGGTTCAAGGAGAAATTCAAATAATTATTAGATTTGTTTTTCCTAGAGGCTATACATACTGAAGTAAGACCCTCTTTTAAAAAAAAATAAAAATAGACAATGTAAATGCAGATAATGAAGTGCTTTTCTAATGTGAGAAGTTTAATAATAAGGGTAAACAAAATTTCCCTAGCATAATTCATAGGAAGAAATAATAGCTTCTTATAAATGGAAAGTAGTAGAGAAAGTAGTGTTTCTCAAACATTTAGAATTTGTGGACCACATGATGGGTCTTCAAATATATCATGGATTTTAAATAAAGACAAAAGAGTAAGTCACACATCTCCATTATACAGTTGACTCTTGAACACAGTCATTAGGGGTACTAACACTGTGCAGTCAAAAATTCACCTACAGCTTTTGATTCCCCTAAAACTTATCTACTCATAGCCTTGCTGCTAGCATAAACAGCCAATTCACATATATTTTATATGTTATATGTATTATATACTGTATTTTTACAATAAAGTAAGCTGGAGAAAAGCAAATGTTAAGAAAATTATGATAGAAAATACATTTATAGTACTGTACACTGAATTTATCCCCAAAAATCCACTTATAAGTGGAGCCATGCAGGTCAAACCTGTGTTAAGAGTCAACTAATAATATTAAAGCAGTATTCTAAAGTAATTTAAACATCAGGAAAAGCAATTACTGCTGTATTCTTTCACCATACTGATACCTAGCTCACTAAAATCAAAGTTAAGCTTTCATATTTAACTTTTTTTTCCAACTCTTTAATTCTACTAATCTCACTTTTCAACTATAGGTTTTTGGGAATAGGAAGTATAGGATGATTCTGTTAGGTGTTTTAGATATTTATATTTGGATGGATACAAAAATTATTACAGGAATTATCATCGAAAACTACATACAGTGTTAGGTGAGGCACTGAGTTGACAAATGAGTGGCACTCAGCAGTGACACTGAATATTTGGAAGGTGGCACTGGTAAATCTCTCCTTTTGGTTGTATTCATTTCTAAAAAGTTTTTAGGTCTAGTGTGATGATTGAATATGATTGTTAGGTATACCTAATACTAAGACATTGATTTTTTTTCTGCCACAAGGAGAGAAAATGGCTAGATGTTGGAAAGGTCAGACTTCTTTTGGTTGAGGCATTTGTATCATGATTTGCTCTTTATATACCTTAAGAATTTTGCCCTCAAGTGACAAGTTCACACTATTCACTCTACTGTTGGCCATGGAGATCTGCCACTTGAGTAAACCACAGATAATCGTAGAAATTATTTACTGACTATCATTTTCGTGAAAAAAAGTTTGTATACTTCATTTGAATAGTTTTTATTAGCATTCTTTTCTCTTGATGAGATAACATGCTAAAGATACCTGCTCAAGGGCTGCAGTTTGAATTATATTCATAGTTTGCCATGCAATTTTTTTCGTAACATTTTTTTTTAATTTACATCCAAATTAGTTAGCATATAGTGCATCAGTGATTTCAGGAGTAGATTCCTTAGTGCTCCTTACCCATTTAGCCGTGCAGTTTTTAACACTAACTCAAGAATAGGCGGCTTACTGGCAAATGCCAGCTGTTGTCGATAAATGAAGCCATGTGTGAATTGGCTTTCAGGTGCCATACTCTTGTTACACACATGGCTAGTCCTCTTGCTTGGCCATACTGATCCCAGTATACCTTTTCAAGTCAAGGTTCAAAAATAATTGTTGGTTAAAAGAAAATCCCTTCTGTTTCATGTTTTCACTGATAATCAGTTAAAAGTTGCATATATTTTTTGATTTACATGGTGTATATGCCATGAGTTGATTCATATTCTGAACACTAGTGGTTTCTTCCAGCCATAAAACAAAATATTTAAGAATATACATCTGTAATAGTAATTGTTCTTCCTTACTGTGTACCAAACATAAATGTCCAGTAGTGTCATCTGATGATAGAATTTTGCCAGCAGATTGTTTTCTTTTAGCATATTCGTGATTAGTGTTTCACTAACCATTTATGCCTGTTTTTGTTAAAGTAAGTTGGAAGTTCCTTTGACTACAGTTTTTATCTTTGTTTTCAGTGACAAAATTCATAATGCAGGCTTTGATCGCAGGCTGGAGTGGTTGAAAATTCTGTGAATACTTCAGTGGCTTCTCATCCCTGTTTTATAATGTTTCAGTCCCTGTTTAATAATGTGTTACAGTACAATGGGAACAAGGAGGTCTTCTGTGCAAACTAATTCTAATTCACTGGCCACAGTCCATTCCAAGATCACATTATTTAAACTCTGATAGTATATCATTTATCATTTATGACATTCTGAGTTAAATGTATTTTTATCACTTTTGCTCTTCAGTGAACCTTTGAGGCATTGATTCTTTTTCTTAAATTTGAGATTTAACACATAATAATAACAAAATACATGTTTAACCAATGTGAACAGTTCTCATGATGTGAAGCTTTGTTAGCCAAAACAGTCTCCTCTTAAGTATCCTTGTAGAGTATGTGTGACCCTGGAAACATAACAGTTAAAGACTTAAAAGAATTTTCTTTAAAGTCCTTATCTTTTCAAATTTGGGAAATGTTTGGTGATCAAAATTTTTACTTTTTCATCAAATTGTCTGTAGACCAGTTGATAGAGTAATCGCCTGGGACTATACCACTGGTCTCCAAATAACACGTGAGAGACACTGACTAGACAAAGGAATACTAGAGAAAAAATGCAGAGGAAGAGGTGACGGTTAAGGTTCTGTGGGATGATCTTTGTATAACAGGTTTTATAAGTTTTATATGGATTTAGCCTCAGTCTAGGTGGCTAGCTGCATCAGTGGTGGCCACAATGGAGGGGTGGTGGCAAGTGTGTGTTAATTACTGATAGGGAATATATTGTGTTTGGTTATGAAAACCTTAAAAGATCCATCAGACTCATTCCTCTCACGATTTGCCACCCATCTTATTGTTTCTTTCTCCTAGTGAGTTAGGCCGGTTGCATGTATGCAACTACTTAAAAACTGCTAGAAGTGTGGTCTGAGAACCAACAATATTGGAATCATCTGAGAGCTGTTAGGAATGAAGAACCTCGGCCCCTCCTCCCACCCTTCCCCAGTTTGAATCAAAATCTGCATTTTTATGACATCATCAGATAAGTTATGTACATGTTAAATTTAAGAAACATTACTTTAAAACATGAAGGGAATACCAGCTGAAAAAAGGTTTGTCTTTTATTAAAGCATATCCATGAAGTTTAAGACCAGGTAGTATTCTTGTTTAGCCAAACAGAAGAGTTCAAAGGCAGAGTTCTTGACTCCCAGGAGAGTACCAGAGACTTTCACATTAGATTCTTTTTCTTTCTTTCAACAACATTTTTATAGTTTTCAGTGTGCAGGTCTTTTGTTTTATAAAATTTATTCCTAAGTATTTCACTCTTTCTGATGCTATATTATATATATTGAATTATTTTATTTTCAGATTGGTTATTCAGATGTATCAAAATAGATTTTTGTATTTTAATCTCATGTCTAAAACTATGCTGAACTCATTTAATGGTTCTGATCGTTTTAAGTGGATTGCTTTGCATTTTCTTTATACAGGATCATGTCATCTGTGAATAGAAAGAGTTGTACTTCTTCTTTTACAGTCTGTTTGCTTTTATTTTATTCTCTTGCCTAATTGCTCTGGCTGCAACCTCCAGTACTTCGTTTAGGACGGACATCCTTGTCTTGTTTTTAATCTTAGGAGAAAAACAGTCTTTTGCTCTTACGTATGTTATCTCTGAGCTTTTCATCTGGCTTTCATCAAATTGAGAATGTTTGTTCTTTTCCTTATTTGTGGAATGGTTTTACCATGCAAGGGTAAATACTTTTTCTGAGTCTGTTGAGATGATTGTGTGTTCTTTTTCCTTTATTATTATGGTATAATACAGTGATTGATTTTCATATGTTAAACCAACTTTTCATTCGTGGACAAATTCCCAAATTCCTCTTGATCGTGGTGTTTAATACATTTTATTTCCTTATTTATTTTTAGTTTATTTTGAGAGAAAGAGAAAGCAAGTGGAGGAGGGGCAGACAGAGAGGGAAAGAGAAAATCCCAAGCAGACTCTGACATGAGACTCAGTCTCACAAACTGTGAGATCATGACCTGAGCAAAAATCAAGAGTTGGATGCTTAACTGCTTGAGCTACCCAGGCACCCCTAATACATTTTAGATATTGCTGAATTTTGTTTGCTAGTATTTTGTTAAGGATTT